GATGAACTTTCATAAAATTCAATATTCTCATAAGGTTAGGATAATGATTGTTTCTTGTGTAAAGTTTGAAATCTAAAAATACTAATATTTTTCAATTAAATAATGTTATTTATATTTCTTATTAAAAATAGTATTAATTAATTTAATGATATTTTTACATAACTAATCACTTTAATTAATTAGTAAATATTGAGATTTAAAATTCAAATATGTTATCAAAATAAGTTAAAAGTGCAAAACACATCGACCAATTGAATGTATAAAAAATTATCTCTAAAATATATCTTTGATAAAATAATTCTCCCAAATTAATCATAACTTTGAGGAGTATTTAAAATTTTGGCATGCTATAATTTGAATGGGATAAATTAATAATATTGGTCAATATATTCAACTATTTTGGATCACCAATATAATGTAGTTAATAATAAAAAGACTTTAAGTTCTTAATAAAAAAATTCTTTAAGTTTAAATTTGGAATTTTAAGCTGGATAAATTAAAATTTCAATATATGATGATTAGAAAATATTGTCAATTTTAATTTAAATTTTCATCCATGTATATATTATAATAATTAAAAAAAGTAGAATATATTAACTTCTCTTCTGAGTTACTTTCATTAAATATACATCCTTTTTTATTTTTTAAATACACACAAACCTTTTCTAGAATTAATAATTTTATAACAAAAACCTTCTTTTTATTTAAAATTTTTATTTTCATTCATCCAATTATTAATTAACTGTTAAGTCATATATTGAATTAAAATAGTCTATTTAAATGTAGATGTTATGTAGCAATCATTTAATATATTTAAAAAAAGTTTAATGCCCATATTTTTTGAAAATTTTAATCATATTTTAAACTTTTAGTTTTGAAAACTTATTTATTTAATTTTTTAAAAAATATAAATACACAAGTTATCTAAAATAATATTTTAAACATGTATACGCAAAAAGCTTAATGAAATAGGAAAGTAATGCAAAATGAAAATAAATTAGTCAGTATAATTTACGCTTTCTTTTGTTAAATTTTATTAGTTTGATCATAAAATTTTTAAATTACTTATTTTAAAATTTTTACATTTAATTATTTAAAGTTCCTTAACTTGAGGAGGGGAAAGAATATACAAATACATTACAATGGTAAATTAATACTTTTAAGTTTTTTAATATAATTAAAATTAAAAAATTAAAGTATTTTAAATATTTAATTGAATATTCCTAATGGGGCTAAAAATTGGATTAAAATGTAGGTTTTAAAATTAAAAGAGAGATTTGTGTAATTTTAAAAAAAAATAAAGGGAAAAGATTGTATTTTACTCTAATTAAATAATGGTATTTGCTACCATTTTATTCTAGCTATATATTATACTAATCAAATAAGGAAGATTAATTTAATTAGGTGTTGGAACAAAATGATAAAGATTGGAAGAGGGAGAATTGAATAATTAAACAATAAAAAATTTGTAAAATAAAAATTATAAGCGTATTAGCTCAATGGTTGGCGAGCTTGGGTTAAATTGTGTGAGCCAAAACTAACTAACATCTAATCAAGTTCCCAATTATGCAGCCCAACTTGCCACTCTTTGGCAAGGTTCAACCCACGAGCTTGACTTATATTACCAGCTCTAATTGAAATTAAGAAAATACTACAATCTAATGAAAAGGGTCTTAGAGATTACAAGCTTATACTTTTACTTGACATATCAAGTTTGGATGTAAGGATAAACAAATTAATAAAAATGAGCTAAATTATAATAGGGTTTCATTATATAATGAATTGATGAGATTGCTTTAAAACCTAACTTTTGAAGGAAAAAAAAAAGATTTATGATGATGTCATTGAATTGGATGAAGATGTTTTTTTTTCCACATATGGATATGGTGGTGTTAGGAAGACATATGTTTGGAGAACACTTCCTACTTCATTAAGATCTAAAGGTAAAATAGTTCTCAATATACCATTAAGCGGGATAGCTTATCAGGAAGACGTACAACTCACTCAAATTTTGTTTCCTCTTTCTACAACTAAAGACATTATACATAGCATGAAACATGAGAGCAACTTGGCTAAATTATTTGTTCACATATCATTAATCATATGAGATGAGGCTCTAATGGCACACAAGTTTTGTCTTGAAACTCTTGACAAATGCCTAAAGGATATTTTAAGATTAAATAGCTTATTAGCTGGTGATCTTTTTTTTTAAAGGAAATGTTGCTATATTTGGTGGATACCTAAGACAAATTTAGCCTTCCTGTTATTCTAGATAGGTCAAGAGAATACATTATTTTTGAAACCATTAACCTTTTATTTTGAGACAATTGTCAACTTTTATCACTAACAATAGACATGAGACTTCTATGAACAAATAGTGGAGTTATCTATTAGTTCTCTTTAAAAATTTACTAATTAAATTATCTCAATTGGTGATGAAACAGCTATTAGAGCTAATGAAGGATTTATGAATGTTAAGATCCTAGATAATTTGTTACAGGATGGTTGAGATAATCATAAAGTCTTTTGTTAATTCAACTTTCTTGATTTTTCTTGCCAATATATATAATTCTTCTTATTTTAGAAATAGGACTGTATTAGCTCTTATGTAGGTTGTGACTAGAAAAGTAAACAAGTACATGTTATCCTATACTTCCTAAGAGAAAGTTGTATACATGAGCTTTAATAGTGTTATTCAACATGTTAGAGATAAAATTTACTTAATGACCTGCATTCTACATTTTTTCTAAATTAAATTACAATGTCAAACCCCCTGAATTATGAAATAAGGCTTAAAGTGGGTGCTCAAGTTTAATGTGAACTAAAACATTAAGAAGTTTATGGGTTGTGCAATGATACACTTCTTATAGTTACAAGAGCTAGAAAACATGTTATTAAAGCCTAATAAATGTCTAAATCAACTACAAGGATAAAAGTATGTATACTAGGTATTGCTATGTGTCCATCTGATTTAAGATTGTCATTTATTATGAGAAGGAAGCAGTTCTCATTATGTTAGTCTTTGCAGTTCTCATTAATAAGAGCTAGGATTTGATTTCGTTTCATATTAGTTTGTACATAAGTCATCCTGTTTTCACTAATGACCAATTATATGTTGCTTCTCATGTTCAAAGCATGAAGAGTCTAAAAATATTAGTTTTTGATGAGGATAGTCACTATATAAATAAAACTTTTAATGTTGTTTATAAGTATGTATTTGATAATTTAATTTAAATAATTATGAAAATTTGTTAATTTACCTCCCTTCATATCCATTTACACAATATGCATTTACTATTTGCTTTACTTGAATATGTATATATAATATTCATAATTATAATTATACAGCTCCACTGCGTATGTAATGATATATATAATAAAATATTTTCTAGAAGTTATTCTTTTGAACCTATTTATAAAAATTATAGTATAAAACCCATGCGATGCACGGGTACTTTATTAGTTTGATTCTAAATATAGGGTAAAGATGTATAAGTTTAAGAATATTAACTATTATTTCTAAAAAAAAACTGAAGTTTATTAACTCTGGCTATAATTAAAATCCAAGGGAGTATAAAACTAATAAATAATTAAGAACAACCGTGAAGGTAGTTTGAAACTATTGACATTTTTAAAAAATGAGAATCATGAGTAGTGCAACCGTTTTTTTTTAAATAAAACTAAAATAACTGGGAATATCAATACTACATTAATTATTATTTTTCCTCTACCTCCTTCCCAAACTAAATAGAAGAGAATATTACAACGGTTTCCTTCCACTCCAACCATTCCAAATAAAAAAAATATCATTCTTTTTTTATTGCAATGCTATAAACAAATAAATAAATAATCATTCCTTTTCTATTGCAATATTATTAACAAATAAATACAAATATGCTTAGTACAATGGCTTTCATCATTAGGTGCTGCACAGTATACGCTGCAGAGAAACTAAAGAATTTGCCACACTACCACAAATGAGATCACTGGTTTCCAATCCAATACATCAATATAAAAAATATAAAATGCTTCTATAAAAAATTGTTGCCGTGAAACGTGAGCATCACATCCTTTTCGCATGTTATACATGGAGAAATGCTCAGCTAGATTAAATACACTATGTCATTTATAATTTATTCAATTAAAATAATTCAGGTAATCTAAATAAAATTTTAGATGACATTTTTTAGTTGATTTTATTCTTATAACATAATATTCATTTGATTTCTTATATTTTCTTTCTTTATTATCATTAACATCATCAAAATCAGTTTATATTTAATATGATCTAAATATCATGTTTTTATTAAATAGATTACAAATGCCATAATACACCAAATCTACCTAAATATTTCTTATCAGACATGTTAGAAGATTCATTTACTGAGTTATATTATTTTGATGGATTTTTTTTATTTGTGCTTTTCTTTTTGTAGCCCAATCCCACTCATGCACTATCTAAAAACTCTTAACAAGTAATCAAAGATTCATTTACCAAATGGTGTTTGTCCATCTTTAGCCAAGTTCTAAGAAAATTTGAGATTTATATATGAAGAGGGAAAAAAAATATATTGTTGCTTGAAGAGCTTCTCACCCATATAATTGGAGTCAACTTGACTCAATTTAGTCTTGTTGAACTCGAATCCAAATTTGATGATTGTCCCAAATTATCCCATCCAATGACATGTAACACCAAAAATCATCAATTCAATCAAATGGTTGTCAGTAATGTTAACACCAAATACAAAGAGAACACCAAATCATAACTCTACATCATCTTCAATGTCTTATATTTTAATTCAATGACTCATATAACTGTAGATAAATGATTAAGTAATATGCTCATAAAGTGACCTTTTAATTTGCGGTTTCATTTATTTATGATTAAGTGTGTAGTTACAATGTGAGGTCTCACTTGATGAAAAGATTTGAGACACTCGTAGGATTTATATCCACCGAATTCTCAGCAATGCACGAATGTCGTACTACTTTTGCATAAATTACAAAAACAGAGTGCAGCAACGCACTGATTGATTGATATGTGGAGAGTACATTGAAGAACAAGAACAAATAAAAACAAAGATAATGTTGAAGCTTTTCCTTCTCTTCTTCTTCTTCTTTTTTTTCAAGTCATACATCGTTTTCACTGCCAACTTGGAATAAGAAAAAGCTAAAAACTTCGGACAAAAACCCAATACCAATCCAACACAATATTTTTTCTCTTCTTTTCTTTTTTCCCCCCCACAAAAATCATTGCTTCTTAAACACTATCTTTATTACAACACTCCTAATTACCTTAGCCATCCCAAACCCTTTGTTCTTCCACAATCTCATCATCACCAGAACAAAGAAAAAAAAAACAGAGCAACCAGATATTACAATGATGTTCCCAGGAAAGATGGATTGGATTTTCTGGGACTGATCATTTCTGTCCCCAGAAATTAAACAAAACCTTAAAAAAAAAAAAAGAAAGAAGTAATCAAACAGGGTACAATAATAATCTAAGATGTTTCAGGGTTTTGAAGAAACCTAGGATATGGGAAATTCCTCTGCTTCCAATTTTTCCATTCCTTCTTCCTCCATCAGCATTCCTTGGTAACGACATTCTCTGCTGCAAAATCCCCTCTCACCCCTGAAACATATAATGTCAAAGTGTTGAAAATCAGATCGGTCGTTAAATTAGCACACTAGTTTGAAGTAGATAGACTGATCTTTGAATCAATCAAGACACTAGTTTGAGGTAGTTAGACTAGCCATGAACAAAATATTTCATTGAACCAATTAAGACATTAATTTAATGGTTTAATTGGTTGGGTTAACCTAGCTTTAAGTACTATGTAAAAAACATATTGGATCCCTGTTTTCTTAGGTCCTCTTAGTCTTTGCATATGCATATGATATGTCATATGTCATATGTCAAAATAAGATAATATGATATCTATGCCATAGTAAATTTTATCTGATGTGAGTCTGCGTATGTTGCAGAAATCAAGAAAATTAGGCTGCACTGTTTATGGCTGTATTATTTTTTCGCTACATGCATGAATATAAGGAATCCAATTTTTGATGCTTCTTCTTAGGATACAAAGAAAGAAGATTAAACTAACAATTTGGTTTGACACTTTAGTTAATTCTCCGCTTGTTTCATTGAGGATCTGAGTAAGAAGACCGATGAAAAATGAATTTGCTACTTTCCAATGTCTACTAACCAATTTTTAAATTGAATATATAGCTAAATAATTTCAATAACTGGAGAACTAGTAAATTGTTACTTTGCATCATTAAACAACACTTCAACTTTGATTTCCCATGTTTTTCCTAAAGTGTAACTAAATAAAACTCCTTTCATATTTTATAACAAGAATCTCCCTTCCAATTTTTTTTTTTAAACTAAAAATATGAATTTTTACCCATTAACTATAATTTTAATCCTAATACATGACAATAAAAAGGAATTCAATAATTCTCTTTCAATGGATAAAATTTACAAAATCAATTTTATTGGCACAAAATAAATAATTACCAAACTAATTATTCAGTTTTCTTTTGTTGGATTATTGAAGTGTAAATTACCAGCTAATTTACCAAGACTAACCCAGCAACTCTTTATGGGTATATCGCCCATCAATAACTTCATCTTTTTTTTTTTCTGGGTTTCACTCACAACGCAATTATAAGAGTGTTTGGGCTGAAAATGGAGGTGATGCGTATAAAATTTGAATCCAAAGACTTAGATTTAAAATAATCATACATAGACTTAAGTTCAAGTGTTAAAGAAAATGAACCTCGTACCCTGTAATTCATAGTATACTTCAAGCGAGTGAATTACAGAAGCAAGAAAATTACCTGTACATGTAGATATCTTTGCCTTGGCCAAGATTCTTCTTACAGTAAAAGCAGGAGCTAAGGAAGCTCTCCGACGGATACTCAAAACCATTGTCCTTTGTCGCGGTCGCTGGAACAGACAACCCAATTCCGACGTCGAAACAGCTACTCTCGATGACGAAGTCATCGAATATATGAGTCGTTCTCGGGTTCGGACCATGCGAAATCACCCGAGTGTACTCCTCGGAGCTCTCGATCTCACTCGCGGAGAGACAACCTGGGAAAACTCGAGGCGAATAATTCGAGCTCGCAGATCCAAACCCAGATTTCTTCTCCGGCGGTTTCACCGATTCCGACGGAGAAAAAATCGTCGGAATCTGAATCTTCAGCTGGGATCCGAAAACGACCATCCGGTTATCGGGTTTGGATGACAGATTCGGGTTTTGATCGTCGTCAATGAGAGAATCAACTAGGCCAAGACCCACTGGTTTAGAATCGAGTTTATCCCAATAACGTCGGGGCTGTTCGCCGGAAGAAGAAGAAAACGGCGGCGTTTTGGGGCTGTTTGTTTCAGACCAGAAAGAGTTTTTGAAGACGGAGAAGGGTTTATTGGAATCGAGTATGGAGGTTGGGCTCATCATCGTTTCAGTTTCCAAGAACGCTTTTGAAGTGGAGTTCGTGAAGAGTCTCGGCGAGCTGAAGAAAGAAGACGACGACGAAGTGGGGTTTTTATACTTCCCAGATGGAGACTGTAACGGAGAAGAAGCAGAATCCGCCATTGTTAGAGCTTGCTTCTAGAACCTGTCCCTCTGGATCTCTTCCTCAGCATCACTCCCTACGCGAAACAGAAAAGAATTTCAGATTTTACAAAACACCATGTTTTGAAGCAGAGTGTGTGTGAAACTGAAACTGACCTGGCCTGAGAGAGAATACAAGAACTTTCTGATTTTTTTTGGGCCTAAACCTCTGTGACCTCCGGCGAGCTGAAGAAAGAAGACGACGACGAAGTGGGGTTTTTATACTTCCCAGATGGAGACTGTAACGGAGAAGAAGCAGAATCCGCCATTGTTAGAGCTTGCTTCTAGAACCTGTCCCTCTGGATCTCTTCCTCAGCATCACTCCCTACGCGAAACAGAAAAGAATTTCAGATTTTACAAAACACCATGTTTTGAAGCAGAGTGTGTGTGAAACTGAAACTGACCTGGCCTGAGAGAGAATACAAGAACTTTCTGATTTTTTTCTGGGCCTAAACCTCTGTGACCTCCATATTGCTAGACACAAGAAAACGGGAAGAGGAGGAGGAGGAGGAGGAGAGAGTTTGTTTATCGCCCCTTGGTTTCTGAAAATAGGATCAAGAGAGAATCAGAGTCGCGAGTCGTGATCGAAGCTTGTAAAATCTTGTTGCTTGTTTTGGATACCTTTTTGTTTTGCTTTCAGGAAAACTTTCCTCACATGCTTCCTCTCTGCTATTTCTGCAAATTTGGTTTACCCTGTGTCTAACAAATACTACACATACCCACAACCAGAATAAAACCAAAGCCGACTGTGATGATGATGATGATGATGATAAAGACCCTGTGGTTCTCCTGCTTCTCTTTTTCGTAATTTTAAACCTAGTGGGGTTATCTTTTTACTCGACTTTACTCACCCTGAGTCCACAGATTGAGCTTTTCAACTGCACAAATGGCCTAAAGGTTGCAGGGACAGTGTTAGTGAAGAGAGAGAGAGAAGATGGGGTGAGAGAAGACGTGGGATTGGTGGGTAAACTATAACGCAGAGTGAGGTGCTTAATGAGAATCAGACACTCGTATAAGTCCGACATAATCTCAAAAATATATAATCCCTCTTTTTTATATTACATTCATCCTCATATTATGAAATACTTTTAAAAAAATTAAAATATTTTAAAATATAATATATTTTGAAATAAAATTTTTATTATATTTTTTAATATTATATTTTTTAGTTATACTTTTTATAAATAAATTATTAAATAAAAGTTATTTTTAAAATTTTAAATTTTAAAAAAATAAATTTATAACAAATATTTAATAAATTTATTTTTTTATTTGAAAATATTTTATAATTTAAAATGAAAAGAATATATAATATTTTAATTGAATCACATACCAATAAAATAATTACTTTTAAAATTCTACATTTTTTATATTTATTTTTATTTAATAAAATGGAATATTTTGATTAAAAAAAATATTATTAATTAAATCCCTAATTGAAATCATTTTTGAAAAAAAATATTATTAATTATATATTGAAAATACCCAAATTTAAAAATACTTTATATTTTTTTATAAAAACTATGTAGTAATAATAATAATAACAATAATGTGTGCTCACTCCTCTGAAATTTCACCTAACACATTCTTGGTTTTAAAAATTCATCTATTTTATGAAAATATTATTAATTATATATTGAAAATACCCAAATTTAAAATACTTTATATTTTTTTTATAAAAAATATGTAGTAATAATAATAATAACAATAATGTGTGCTCACTCCTCTGAAATTTCACCTACACATTCTTGGTTTTAAAATTCATCTATTTTATGAGTTTTTATCTGTAAATGTATAATTAAAATTTAATAAAATAAACATGTTCACTCAAATTGTTATAAATTTTCAGACAACTGGTGGCGCAATTCACTGTGTGATATTAAGAAATAAAGTTAGTAAAACACTTGCTAACAAAATAAAGTTTGTAAAATAATAGTATAGTTAAAAATTTAAGGAGCCGATGTTATGTTGTAAAAACAAATGGTTTAGAAACCAAGTCCATTATATATGTATGTGGGACTATGTTATTTAATAACATTTAAATGTTAATTTATCAATGAAACCTTGTAAATATATTAAATTTTTTCAAATATCTTAATTTAAAATTGAACATGACATATTAATAAATAATATATTATTAAAAATAAGCATGGTTAAGGATTTCACGAGTCAACTTATGGTGATGACAAACAATTAGTTTAGAATTAAATTTATTATCTGATATAACCATGTTATTATAATAACATAATATTAATTTATAAATAAAACTTATAAAATACATGAATTTTTTAATTTTTAATTTACAGTTGACCTGGACAAATTAACAATTATAATTAATAAAATAATAAGTGTAGTTAGCCCCTTCCACTCCAACTAAACAAGCCTTAAAATTTAACAAATCACTTTATATGGCAACAAGAAATTGGTTTGGAAGCTAAAGTTATTCTATGCATTATTTCTTTTAATCAAAATTAAAATATTGATGGTCATTAATCTCTTGAATAGCCAAGAAGTCATGGCTTCGAATTTTGAATTCTTCCTTGCACACCATTATTAATTACTTTTTTTAATTAAAAATATAAATATTTTTAAAGAGTTAAATTTTAAAAATGTAATGTACTTTTAATCTTTTTGAAGTGTAATTATTACTTTTTTAAAAAAAATACTTATTAATAATAACTTTATATTTTATTATAAGATATTTAATAAGAATAAATATAAAAAAATAGAGTTAATTTAAAAATAAATAATTATTTTATTAAAAATAAAATTTAATTAAAAATTTATATTTTTTAACGAGTATTTCATTGGGTCACCAGTATTGGAATGTCCGACAATTAGTGACGTCGCCCGACGATAGAGGGTCTCTGACGGTAAGAGCTGGCAAAAAGGGTCGGCCCGGCCCTATAGGGCCAGCCCTTGAAGGGCTCGGGCTTAAAGGGCCCGCCCTTTTAAGCCCGAATTCCTTTTAGGACCCTGATTTCGAAGCCCGGCCCTTGACATGACGGGCTCAGGGCCGCCCTGCAGGCTTTAGGCTCTTTTAAACTATTTTTATTTTTTTTAAATTTTTTAATCAAACAAAAATATTTCATTCTATATAATACTCAATCAAAAAAGGTATAAAAAACTAACTAAATAACATATAAATGAATTAAAAACACAAATAAAATAATAACAATGCAATAACTAATAGATCGGTTAAGCTGACAAACACCCAATCAAAATTAAAAGAATAAATGTTGAATTGAATAAATCATTATCATGGGTTTTAGATGAATCAGAGGATTTAAGATTGTATTTTTTTTAGAAAATAGCAGCTAAGAATTTCTGTATGAAATTTATATCAATTAAGAATCAATTATTGTTAAAACCTGAATGAAAAACAATCTACAATGAACTATTGTTAATTTAAAATGAGTTGTTATTAAAATCTAAATGAATACTTATTGATAAAGGCTAACTCAAATTCACAAGTATCTACTCGAATTTTGACACAAGTGATCTTTGACGGATATAATTTTTGATCAGTGATTCTTCATTGCTATTTTTCTTTCGTCTTTTTTACCTTCCATCCTCAATAAATATGGGCTAACATATGATGTGGAGTAACATTTAGTTTAATTTTCTTTCAAATGTAAAAAGAGTAAAAATTATGAGAATTAATTAAAAAATACATATGTGGGCTTAAACGGGCTGGCCCTCGGCCCTACAGGGTCGGTCCTTTTAAGCCCTAGATTAAACAGGCTTAAACGGGCCAGCCCGTTTAAGCCCGATTTATCATTTTGGAGTCCTATTTACAAGCCCGCCCTACTTTATACGGGTTTAAACGGGCTAGCCCGACGGGCCGGCCCATTTTCCCGGCTCTATTTGACGGCCATCTACTATGAAGGTGGACTTCTATATAACAAATAATAAGAATATTCTTGTCATTTCTTATTAAATTTTTTACATTTTAATCCTCAAATCCTACTGTGTAAAATCATATCCTTGCAGTCTTTTTTTAATTTTTTTTTATTGTTTCAAATTTCTTAAATTTTATTTACCTGTAAGATTAATTCTTATATTTTTAAATATGATGTAAAGACTTAATGTTTGCATAGATTTTATTAGTTCTTGTGTATATTATGAATTATATAAAAATGAGTAGAAGGCAAAAACAAAAACAAAAACACAAAAAGCAAAAAATCATGAGCCTGTTTGAAATTATTTTTATTTTATTATTTGAGAATTAATATTTTGCAAAACATATTTTAAAAACAAAAAAATATACCCCTCCATTCAAATATAAGGCATTTTTTGAGGGTTAGATATTAAACAATGTAAGGCATTTTTAATATTTTGAGGTGTAATCATTGTCTTTTTTAAAGTACCTCTATTAATAATAATTTATATTTATTGTAGAATGTTTAATAAAGATAAATATATGAAAAAATAAGGTTAGTTGAAAAATAGGTAATTTTATTGATAATGAAATTTGGTTAAAAATACCTTATAACTTTGAATGGAGGGAGTATTTTTATTCTCTCTTGTTGTCCTAAAACAATAATTTCAAAATACCTAAAAGATTTTTTTTATCTTCAAAATAATATTTTATTTTTTATTTTTTAAATAATTTTTGAAATTAGGTAACAAACAATTTTTTTATTTTTCATTCTAAAAAATAAAAATTATTCCTAAAATAAGTTGCAAGCATGCCCTATCATCCATGGTTAAACGCGTAATGAATGAAATTTCATAAGAAAAATAAACAAGACAAAATTGAAAGTGGAAAAAAAATTAAAAAGTTGGGACATTTTAAAAAAAAATTTAGAAAATAAAAGGAGGTAAATTGAAGAAAATGAAAATATAAAATTTTTATAATATATTAAAATTAATTAAATTTAAAAATAGTTTTACCATTTTAAAAAAATTTACAAGACAAAATTTATTATTAAATTTCTTCTTTTAAATATCAATTTAACTAGTTAGGACAAGCATGGCAAATTGCTCAAATAATGTCTAACACATTACAATTTTATCAATTAAGTAACAGAATCAATAAATTATATACACATCAAGGATTTTAACTTCGCTAGTGACAGCATGTAAAGACTATCATTGCGTGCAAATGGCATAAACTTGATGAAATTTAAGTAAAAACAAAAAATTAAATACAAGGCCTAAGGTCAAAACACACAAAA